ACATAAACCCCGGTTTGACGCTAAATCACATGGGAAAAAATATTTAAAATTTTCTTATTAACCGATTAAATTTTTATCATAAAATGTAGGCATTACTACAGCATTGTCCTTGATAGCACAAAACACGTTGAAAGACCAATAAGATTGACAACCTGTCTCTCGAACGACATAATGATTACCTATTATCTGTCAAATAATGTGAATTACCTACGCCTACTCAATTCTCTTTAAACAAGAAAGTTGACATCTACTTTCGGTATAAGCGGAAATGATAGTCAAAATATTTTAGATGGAAAGATCATATTACCTTATATTTTTGCCAATTTATAAAGAAAATCCGTTGACTAATTTGTCAGATATACCTAGTGCCTCCATCGTAGAACAAATATAAATATTATTTAAAGGGTATTAGATATGTGGATATATTATGACATCGCTAAAATGAAATCGAAAAATTCGCAGCGCAGAATAAAATAATGTACGCCACTGGATTTAATCACGACCTGACTTCTAGTAAAAAAAAAACGGACGGACCAAGAGTGGCATGCATATACACGACTCGAAGACTCGACTATCCCGCTGGTATACAAGATGGCGAACCACGGACCACTTAGCGGGAGTTTAGGAGTGGTTCTCGCTCCTCGATATCGTTCTATGCTCTGCCTCTACCTCCCTTTGCCTCCCTCCCTCTTTGGCTCTCTTGCCTCTACCCATTGTCTTTGTCGCTCCTCCCAATCCGACTAATGCACGACTGTCGGCTTTTTATGCCTTGTGCCGGCGCGGCGGCTCGTAATCGAGCTTTGAACTTTTCATATTAAATTCTTCGTGGTGTTTCTCTTCTCTCCTATGGTCTACGGTCGGTATCTACCGTCTAGTGCATTTAATTGACTTTGTTTTATATCTCACATCGTCTTCTATTTATTTATTTATTTATTTATTTATTTACCTATCTATTTAAGGAAAAGGAACACTAACAGGACTATCCTAAAAAAACAGTGTTCATTAGATTACTAACAAAAAGAAAATTAATGTCTTAAGAAGGTATTTAAATGCAAAAAATATATGCTGAAATACAGCTAAAAGCAATACGGAAACTTTAATATTATTTATTACAATTGAAAGGACACATTTTTTTTATTTTGTAGATATTTAAGATACAAGAAAATAATATAATTATGTACCTACTTTGCGATTTTGATACATATTTTTTACTTAATATATTATAATATATAATTTTTAGCCGTTTATTTTGAAAGTGGCCAAAGTCTATTTATATTTAAATTAGATATTCATTATCGATAATGTCCGAAGGCAGTGATGAAGGTAATTTTAATTAATATTTAACAAGTTAACCTCAGTTTTTGGACAATTGCATTAGTTGAATAATCAGTACGTTTAATTAATGCAGTTAAACAAAATTTACACAAACCCTTAAATATCTCAATTTATGTATAAATGAACTTAAGCCACTTTCAAAATAAACGGCTTAATTATACAATTCTCAGCACTATGGTATGTTCCAAATGTCCCTAAATTTTAACCGAACATGAGCGTTTTCATCAGATGCAGAAAACGTTGAAATTCCAGTCGAAGATCTAATAATAATAATAATAATCTTCTCAACAAAAATGGAGTAATAAATAATTGGACTGAAAACTGCGATAAATCAGTTAAGAATTAATGTCAAATATGTTTGTTATATGAGTAGGTACATGAAATCTAGAAATTTCCACTTATCTATATGTAACGCACTATGCCTTACCTATAACTTTAGGAATAAAAATGTTATTATGGTACTAAAAGCATGAAGATAAAGAATACCTATTTAAGCCAAAAATCTTTCAATAATCAGAATATTTCAACTATAAAAGAAAGGTTTATGTAACCGAACAATACTTGCGATCTATACTTATTCATTTTTATAGATAGATACATAATATCACACACAAAATATTTTTTCTACATCCACATAGATATTCGCTTATCTACAGACTGACATCAAAATGAAAAAGTATGCTATTACGTTCAACTGAACGAATATATTTCATATCCATTCTAGGTAGTGAAGAACAGTGCAAAAAATTTAAATCCACCAATCACAGTTCATATTTTGGATACTCAACTACTATTACCTATTTTTTAAATTTTAAATAAGTGACATTTCTGTAAAATTAATTGTCAGTATATTTTTCAGTTATTGGGATTAAATATACATTAAAATGAGTTATTTTTGGGTAGAATCAATAAATAATAGCTTTTTATTTGGTCCATATTTTAAAAAAAAATAATTTTATTCAAACTAAATGAAACTAATTTAATTAAAATCCCCTAAAAGTGGCGGTGGAGGTGAGGAGAAAGCGTGTGCCTTCCACGCGGAAATCTCGGGATCAAATCTGGGCTGGGGACTAATTAAATTAAATTTTTTTTTCATGTTTTTAAAATTAAATTAATTTTTTAAATTTGTATATTTTCGTTAGCGGATCATAGAAAAAATATACTGTACAGCTCGAATGGATTGTCCATATCCACTCTTGTTGTACAAAGTACTATTTCAGTACCTATATAGTATACCTATTAATTCCAAACAAAAGACACAAATTGTTTATAACGAGAGGTAAATTGTTTTACATATCAATTCCGAAAGAAATGCGGGAATTTCGTTCAGATGTGTACAGGAAATTCCGTATAAATTTACCTCTTGGTTTATACGTATCAAGAAGACTGAATATTTTATTTATTTTTTCCTGGGCTCGTCTGGATTAGTCTCCAACAACACTGAAGCTTATCATGGTCTGTTGTATTTGACTCATATTATTTCATAAAACCTTCTCTGTCATCTTGGTCTCTTGTACAAGTTTGTAAAAGTCTTTGATAGGGTGTGTTCTATAGTTTCTTGGATCAACCTGGTGGTTGTCCAAAAAGTGCATGTATTGCGATCCAATGCCTCGCAGTGGCACAGCATGTGTTTGGATGTTTCTGGTTCCTTGTGACAGTCAATATACAATAGGTCTCGACGATACAAGCCTATTTTGTTCAGGTACCCCTTTACTGGGGTATGCCCTTTCATGAGTCCTATTATTGTTTTTAACTGGTTCCTATTTATGGAGAGTAGTTCTCCTGTTCTTTTTGAACATGGTCTTCCTATAAATTCTTCCCATGGCATATTTTGGGACATTCCCCCAATAGCTTTTGTGTTTTCTCCAAACACAGCTATTTATGAAGCCTCGATCTGTAATTTTTGGTACTCCAAGGCTTATATCTGGGTCCGATATTTCTTCTGACCCTCTTTGGCACCCAAACTTGTAGTTTTACTTTATTTCGGTCTTCCAGTATTCTCAGTTATATTCGATGCAATTCCATACCAGCCTCGACGTTACTTTCTAACTTGATATGGCCTTATGACATTATTTGGATCTGCTTATTTTCGATAGCTCTTCTATTGTTCTTGCACATTTCAAAATTGCATAAACCTCAGCCTGAAATACTGAAGCGTGTCTTCCAATTGCATAGCTAATGTTGGTTTTGGGGTTTTTGGAGAACACTTCAGCACAGTCTTTGACCCGTTTGTGTACCAGGTACGTTCCTGTCATTGGGCACTGGGTTCTCTTATAGTGATCCGCGTTTGTTTGGTATTAAAACCTCGACTGGAGTAACGTTTGGTTATGTAATCTGTTCTCATGTCTAGTACGTCCCCTATTACTAACATTGCGATACTTATGTGATCTGGTCTAATGTTAAGATTTCCCAAGGTGTTTCCTAATCTGTAAGCACCTAATCTTGCCTCCCCTTGTATCACAAAGTGAAGTGATGGCAAGCCTAGTAGTGCTTCCATTGCTGCTGTGGGCGTTGTTTTCATTGCCTCCACTACTCCAAGACGTGCGATTCTTTGTATCTTGCTTAGTCTCGTTATTGCCTCTCTTTGTTGTCTTTGGCCACAAAATTGCATTTGTTTATTATTGGTCTTACTACCATATTGTATGTCCAGTATACCACACTTTGTTTCAGTCTCCAATTTTGTTTCCAAAGGAGCGTCTGGCCATTACTAGTGATGTCTCCATTTTCTTGTTGTTCTTTCCAAATGTTGAGTCCAGGTAAGTGTCGGGTCAATTGTAACCCCGAAATACTTTACCTCCCTCTTTAGTTGGACATTCTTACCGCGGCGGTTTAGCGGTTCTAGTCTCTATAACTTTCTACTGGAAGACTTTATTATACAAAACCATAGTAGAAGGCCAATAGTATTCTTCGAAAAATGAGTAGGGAATTCAGGATAATTTCCTGAAAAACTAGAAATAAAAAAAATCATTTGTTGTTTGTTGAACACCACGAAAACCTTGCACTGTAAAGCAAAGTACAGACCTGTTCTCCGCATGCTATATAATTTGAAAATGTTTAACCATTTCTATTTTATTAAAGCACTAATATTGATGCATAATTGTAGTTTATATAATTAATAATTAACATTATTTTTTTTAGAGAAAATGTATAACATGCAAAACCGCATTTAAATAATTTATTAAATGACATTTAGTGCTAAAAATTTATAGAATCTGAACAATTTTTCATTTTTTTTATAATATTGTAATATTGTGTTTTATTAAGACTGCTCGTCCTAAATAACCAATAATAACCCATGCTCAAGGATTCTTTTTGTGGGTGTTTCTGTTTATTTATCTCGAACGAACTTAAATTGATATACATTATACATTGTTTTTATATTATTTTTGGTAAATAAATTATTATTATTATTATTATTATTATTATAAACCTCTGTATTGTGTTCAAAAATTTTATTATCGTACCTGCGTTCGTAATATTTCCAATACAAGCCATACTTTCATTACCTTATAATAAACAATAAATTAATTTTTTTACTAATTTTTCTACTCTAAAATCAAAACTGTTCGATTTTGAGAATTTTCTAAAATTCTTTCAATAGTGCAAAAAATACGAAGTAAAGTTTTCAAGCCTGTTAGGTACTACATTGTTTTCTTTTTTTCCAGGATATGGATCTAATAGAAGTGCTTTGGAAACAAGATGTCGATCTTGGTTTCACCGTTGACAACATCAAACCCGAAAAAGAGAACATCAAAGTCGAACCTGACGATCCCGCCACTTCGATTAACGTTAAAGACAAAGACGATATCGAAAAGTTGAAAACACTTCAGGCCATCAACGAGGACGCCATCAAGGTTTGTTGCAAATTTTGTTTTCTCTTTCCTATATAATTAGTTGTTATATTTTAATAGAATATATCCGTTTTTATTTATAAATTTTTAGTTCTTTTAACTGAGTCGAGCAGTGGCGCATCCAGAGTTTAAGTCTAGGGTGGTTATAGTGGTAATCGGGGACGCTGAGAGCCATGGTGGGACATTTTTATAAAATTAGCTCCTTTCTTTGTGAAATTTCTAAAAAAAAAGGTCCTCAGCTTGTATTTTTCGTAAACCAGGTCCTTCCTTTTTCTAACGAGCTTTAAAAAAAAAGATAGAAAGGTCTTTTCTCTTCAAAACATCCTACAGCTGCCCCCCTGACCCCTCTCGTCGGGCCTGGTGGTAATAGCTAAAGACTGTTCGCTAACAAAATATCTTCGACAAAAAAATAATATCTATTAAACAATGGACATTCAGTTTAAACAAAGTATAGGCGTTAATTATTATTAATTTCACGAAAAAAAATTTTGCAGTATTTTTTTTTTTAATGGACAATCTTTTAACTATGGGTATGCGCTAATATATATTTCACTCTATATAAAACTTCAAAATTCAACATTGGTAATATCAAATCAACGACAAAATTAGATCGATTTGAATTAAAAATTCATATCAATGGCGTATCAATGAACAATCTTTTATAAATAAATAGGGGACAATTTAAAAACTTATCAACGCTAGATCGAACTAGCGATGATTTCAGAAAATTCTTAGAATTGTTTCTAGACTTAAATGACAAAATACAGACCTCACCTTTATCAAACCCCTATGAACCACCTCTTCCTCAAAAAAATAGCACATAATTAATTAAAAACCTATTTAAAAAGAAAATGCATTACATATATTTTTAAACATTTTTAGTCCAGAATAATTTCATTAGGTTTTATTGTTTATTTAAGACTCGTTTTTATAAATTATTGGATTTTTTATTTATCATAATCCAATACACTTAATTTTAATTTATTTATAGATACCTATGTTAATATTGCTCACGAGTTAGTCCTTTATTCACTATTTCATTACTTTTGCACGGACCTTTAGTACAACTGTCAGTTTAGTTTTTGTCCATTCACATTGCTAGCAAACAGTAGTTTTTTTCTTAAACTAGTTTATTTAATTAGTCTAAGCCCTAAGGGATAAGTTTCAATACTTATATTTAGTTACACTTATCTGATATAAAGTATGAATTTATACAGGGTGTCCCAAATAAGAGTGATCGATTTTAAATGTAAATGCACAGCTTATTAATTGCTCTAAAGAGATGGGGTTTTCACTAATTGATTTCGTTTATCCAAAAGTTTTTTTTTAAGTTTGTTCACATTTTATCACATCAATACAGGGTGATCCATTAATGTTGGTCAATTTGAATGGAAAAAAATATGTATTATTTTAAATGGAACACCCTGTATATTTTGATGGGATTCAAAAGAGAGATTCATCTACTTTTTAAAAATGTATCTATTTGGGACACCCTGTATTTTAAATTAACAATATGGCGTCCCATTGACTATCCCATTGACTTTTAATCTATTATGAACATTTTCTCTTAATTATTAATCACGTATACATTATTTTTTATTCATGCTTGTCATTCATTGTATGTACCTTACTCTTTTTTCTCTTTAAAGCAAGAAAAAGATGAAGATCCATGGTCTGGATTTGACTATACAATCGACACAGAAACCGGTAAGTGAAATTTAATCATTTTAAAATTGTTTGAAAAATTATGGCAAACACACAGTGGGTTATCGCAAGCACTTGGGTCCTCAATAGTTTTTAAAATTGACAATATACCTGGATATACAATATTTTATATAATTTAATTGAGTTATAAAAAACACAAATATATCAGTAGTATTGAGATTAAACTTTTAATTGACAAGAGACAGGGTTAATATTTTAATATAAAATTTTATATACGTATTAGAAAAATTTTATGAGGTGTAATTATATATCCCAAACTACATTAAAGAATTAGATAATTTCCTATTAAAAAAAATATATTTTAAACAATTTTTCGATAAATTGTAAATTTATTAATAAAAAAAATATGTTTAAGTACTCATTTCACGATTGGGGTCTGTCTTAGTAAAGTTGTGTATTTATCTTTTACGTTTTGTATTGTTTTTAAGATCAATCACTGTAACTTGTAGACTTTTATATATTTTAGAAAAAAAAATGTATAGTATAATTTGTTTTCAACGTATCCCTATTTAGAGACACCACTGGTTACGCCCGTGCATATAGATCTGAACTTTTATAAAATGTAAACGGATAAATGGAATCTCCTGCAAGTTAGTATGACTTTTCAGAGTTTGGTATTTTCTTAGGGCTCATGATGATAGATACAGTAAACAATATGAACAGAATGTTGTGGCTGACCGGCCATTTTTACGTTTGCGGGGACACCTTGCCAGACTTTGTGCAGACGAGAATGACTGTTGATTTCTTCGCCTCGACCTAGCCAATGGTTCTGTTCAAATTGTGCTTTTTAATACCTTTACTTGCACTTTTATTTGATTTAAGTGTTCTTATTTTGAATTCATTATATTTTTACTACCCCAGTTGATAAAATTTAACAATTATGAGTAACTATTGGCTGCTAAACGTAAATGTATAAAAATAGTGACGTATATTTTAGGTTTAAAAGGTAATTTAGTTTAGAAATCGTCTTATATATACGTGTAGGTAAAGGTTAAATATGTATTCCTCTATAGGTATGGGCCACCTTTTTTGTAGAGCCATTGCAATAAAATAAAAAAAATAAATTTATACTGATAAACGTCAACAAAGAAATAACGTCAACAAAGAAATAATTTAATAACTTCTCACGATCATATAGTGCTATAACTCTAATGGGAAACTTGAGATTGCCTTTCTTTTGCCAGAAATTCAATATCTGGTGAAAGTGATGTTTTTAAACTTTCATATTTTTGCAAATGTCTTTTTAAATTGAACTCTTTTAAAACCGCGACTACTTCATTACATATCAGATATCAAGACAATAATTTTCTCTCAAAGTTGGAGTATTATGGCATACATGGATTATCTTTATGTTGAGTTAAGGCATTTCTTAATAATAAAACAATTTGTATCATTGACGACTAGAAATAACTGCTGTCATAGTATACGACATGATTTTGAAGAGGTTAAATTAAAAATAGGTGTACCGCAGGACTCTCTTCTAATATGTATAAATCAAATTGACCATATTACAGGAATTATATCCTATACAGCTTACGCGAATGATGTATCTATTGTTATCTCAGGAAAACCTTCAAATAGAATGTGTAAAAGTATAAAGTATTTACATTTTTTAATAGTAATAGCTTATTTGTTAATGTACAAAAACTGAAATAATTAGATTACATAACCCCTAAAAATAAAATGGAGGATATTTCCTATAAATGATAAAAAAGGTCCTTCATCGAATCTGAAGTTTTACCGCTTAAATAACACAAAAAAATGATTTTTTTTTACCTTATTTATTCAGGCAAACTAGGAAGAATTTTTTTTTTTTTTTTTTCATAAAATTCATGACTATATCTTATAAAGCATTAAATTTGGACGAAAAAATCTTATTGAACCGAATTTCTATTTTCATTTTTTGATTTTTTATATAGCTTTAAATTCAAAATTTTCCGTTTTTTGCCTTTTTTAGCTAAACTATTGAAGTTAGACGAAAAAGTTAAAAGTTAATTAAGTAGCTTGTCTGACGGACCACAAAAAAGTTTTCAGCGAATTTTTTGTATCGTCAATATTCGAAAAGTTACAGGCGTAGAAAGTCATAATTTTTGTATTATTAACTTTTGGTAAGTGAAATATTAATGTTAGCAGATAAAATCAATAGAAAATTATACAAAAATTTAATTTTCGGAAAAATTGTCTTAGTAAATCAGAAAAACAATTGACAAAAGACACAAAATTTTATAGAAACTTTATTTCTCGTTCCATTTTTTACAGAATTATGCCAGGGAACTCATTTTTATCTTTAATAATCAAACATGAGTTCCACAGTTATTTTCATACCGTTTAGTTATTTTCAAGAATATACTCATAAAGTTGTAATCAAGTGAACAATTTCTGTAATATAATGCAACTGATCAGTCAAATAAAAAAATATTGATCCATTGAAATTGAGAAGAGTACATTTCAAAGAAGAATCGATGATATTTTATTGGCAGTAGATAGATTATCGTAGTTTAAAAAATATTAATAACAAATAATTATTTAAACAAATATATTTTTTATTGTGTTTTTTTTTCGTACGCAGCAACATAATCTCTTTTTGAGACGCTTGAAAACTTTTTTCTATGTTCTTCAATAACCTGTAGCAAATATTGTTTCTGCTCTTCACTCCTGGTTAAATAATTATTGTATTCCTGTATAAGCGCTACACCTCTTTCAGCCTATAATCATTGACTACTTTCAAATCAGACAATACTGTTTTGCAGTATTGGTAATTTTCATCGGACATCCAGCACTCAGGATTTTTATCCATGAATGTATATGGTACTTCAAATTACTCTTCTCAATTTCAATGGATCAATAATTTTTTATTTGACTGATCAGTTGCATTATATTACAGAAATTGTTCACTTGACAACACACCAAATTTTACTTGGACAATATTTTCGAAAATTCAATTTTTTTTATAATTTTCTATTGACTTTGTGATAACAAAAATATTCCACTTACAAAAAGTTAATAATACAAAAATAATAACTTTACACGCCTGTAACTTTTCGAATATGGACGATACAAAAAATTCGCCGAAAACTTTTTTGTGGTTCGTCAGACAAGCTACAAAATTGGTATTTAACTTTTTCGTCTAACTACAATAGTTTAGCTAAAAAAGAAGAAAAAAACGGAACATTTTGAATTTAAAGCTATGTAAAAAATCAAAAAATGAAAATAAAAATTCGGCTCAATGAGATTTTTTCGTCCAAACTTAATGCTTTATAAGATATAGTCATGGATTTTATGAAAAAAAAATTTCTTCCTAGGTTGCCAGACTAAAAGGTAAAAAAAGGTAAAAAAATATTTTTTCTTTGTTATTTAAGCGGTAAAACTTCAGATTCGATGAAGGACCTCTTAAAATTGAAAATTATGAGCTCCGCTTTTAACAGGATATTTGTTCGGACATACTCTACGATATTTTGGGCGGAGAGCAAAAAAAAATAACGTGCTTTTTGGCACACCCTAGACTACCTGCAGGATGTTTTGCTTTAAAAAAGTGTAGATTTGGTCAGCACCTCGTTTATGGACCACCCTGTATATTTAACAATATTTGTTTAATAGTGTCGTACAACTTTTATATTAAAAACTTCTTCGCATTTCTAATAATAAAACACCCTGTATATGTATTATTTGCTAACATATTGGTATCGTTATACAGGCAAATTTATAAGGAATTTTATGCTAAAATAATATACTGTCTGTGTACATTCTTGAACTCTGTGTACATTTTTAAAAACAAATGTAATTTTTTATTAAATGTAGATTTCCACGAATCTAGTACAGGCTCAGAAATTAAATTAATTTAAAAGTTACATCGAAAAAATTTACTCTCCTTATTATAAAGGATCTACAGTTTTCAATAAATTGCCAAAGGACATCAAATCCTGCAGTACCATTCATGCGTGGCGGCAAAAATTGCAAAATTTTATTTTTTACCGATTTTCTTTATACTTTCGACACTTTGCACTCTTGATCCACAAATAGCTATTTTCTTTTGCCAAATGTCAACAAAGTTATCATTAATTATTTATAATCTATAATATTTAAAACAACTACGTTGTTTTAATAAATTTAATGAAAAGTATCTACATGTGTAACGGTCTCTTTTTAATTCTTTTATCTACCGTGATCGAAAAATTCCTTATTAAAATTTCTAATCATGATTTTTATTTAGTAATTAGTTTTGTTTTTGTGAGGTAATTTGGACGGCGCGGCGGTCGATAGTGCGATCTATAATAATAAAGAATTATTTTAAATTAAGTAATCCTACGACAGCTGCTTCCAAGAACCTTGCAGTCGTTTTCTACCAGACTCCATGACTTAGCAACTTTACTTCAGGATGTTTCTTTTGACTTGCAACAGAAAAACCTTTTTTCGGTTTTTTACACCTCATTTCTAGGTATATAGATATAATATTATATTATATTGATTCGACACATTGATTCGTTATTATATAAACATTTTACAAATTATCAATGCAGAAAATCAAAGTACAGGAATAGGAAAAACCGCGCTATGCTCTAACTTGTTTCATGCCGCTTTGCCAAATTTATTAGTATTATGAAGTTCTTATGAAAATATTGAAATATTGGTGAAGGTACCGCCGTAGGAATATTTCTGGTGGGTGCGCTCATTCTTAGTCGAAAGGTGTCTGGAATGTTCTAAGAGCCATATATGTGTATAAATAGACTGTTTTGTCTTTGAAGTTTTATTCAAGATATTGTTTTGTTAACATAAAGATTGCCAATGTAAATTAGTACTGTATGTAATACAAATAATTTTTGTTATAGACTGTTTTAGTGAACATAAACTAAATAAACCGAACAAACACTGTTAAATAAATAAATAAATAAATAAATAACCCTTACAATACTTTAATCGTTACATTTCACTAAAAAAAAAACTTTGTCAACGTTCAGAAATTCGAAGGAATGTTATTTTTTTGA